AGAAAAACGCACCCTTCTCAGCCAGCCTCCTCCTCTTGTGAACCTCCAATTCATCCTCCCCACCCTCTCTCAAAACCGTCGCATCGCTCCTCGTCTTCGCGAAATCCAGCACCATCGGCTTATCAAAGAGCTCGAACCCATTAATCTCATCAATGGCATTTGAAGCCGACTCAATGCTATCGAAGACGATAAATGCCTGACCCTTGGCCTTCAGATTGGTCTTCGCGACGATGTCGATGATGTTGCCATATTCTGAGAAGATTTCTTGGAGCGCTTCTTTCAGCTGGTCGACTTTGACTCGTTCTTCGAGGTTGCGGACCTGGTTGGGAGTTGGTGTTAGTGAGCGTGCGCTTGGTAAGCTGGAGGTTGTGATGGTGGGATCGTACATAAACTCTGTGGTTGTTGGGTTAGTTTTCCTCGTTGTTGGAAGGCTTAATGAGGGAAAGAAGCTTTAAACTTACGTGGAGTTTGGGGGAATGGTGCTTGCAGGCGCGGTCATTGACGCCATGTTTGTGACTGGGGAGCTCGTCGAGCTGGTGTTGTAATTGCGATTGATCGGGTTGCGGAACTTCTGAAGGTAGAGTATTCGGCTTGGATGTTTGCTTGTAGGATTATTTATTGTAAAACTCACTAGTTTTTTCGCATAAGCATCATTGGTCTAGTGGTAGAATTCATCGTTGCCATCGATGAGGCCCGTGTTCGATTCACGGATGATGCACACCGTTTTTTTTGGGGGGGTATATGTCAGCTATCATTACGTTCTGTGTGCTTCGCTTTCTTGATCATGAACATAATTGTCCAAGTCTGCCTATTTTTAAAGTATCATTTTTCATGTTCTTTGACATTGTGATACCAAGCATCGGCATGGTCCAAGGCGATGTGGTCTATCTACAAGCTAACTCTTTCCTCATATCCTCGACCTGGCCCTTGAGTTCCTTGGGCTGTCTCGTCCAGTCTCCGGTCTTCACCGACTCTAGCGTAGTCTCTATAAACAGGTATTCTGCAACAGCATTTCGAACCTATAGGCCAGTTAACGCAATGATCCCTCCCAGCTAAGTTAAGCAGACATACCCGTGGAAAAGGATGCAGAAGCATTGAGGTCATCTTTTTCAACACCTCCGCTCGTAGCGGCTCCAGCCTTGACAAGGGCGCATACACTTTGATTGCGGCTTCCAATCTCGCTATGTTGGACGATTTGAAATGTGCCTTCTGAACAAGAACAAACAATTTTCTATAGCTATGGGCTGTGAGGAGTTATCTCAATTCGGCGGGTAGAGAGGAACTAACCTTGACTCTGAAGGTTGGGAGATGGAGCCGATATAGCTATCTAGCAAGAAAGCCAAAAACTCCAGCACCGGGATAGCGTAGCGGTCATCTTGTAGGTTATCACTCAGGGCAACCATGAGATCTTTGATAATGGAGGTCACTATGTCTTGCCGCTGTTCAGCCTGATACTTATTGATACTCTGCACCAGAGCTGAACGGCTTGAGCGAACAAGGCCTTCTGCCCCTGCAACTGCGGAAGTCGCAATTCCTTGGAATAATGGCAGGCGCAACCAGTCGATGGCTTGCAACTCAAAGAGTTGAAGGAAGTAGTGTGGCAGGGATACGTGACTGAAATGTTCATATTGTCTGATACAGTCAGCGATGGATCTGGGATATGCGTGTGATATACACCCACCTCTGTAAGGGTGGAAAATCTTCGGCGGACTTCCAGAAGCTCTGCAAGCAAAGCCAAGCTTGAAGGCGGACTTTGTCTAGCTTCTCTGCTGCAAGTCGACATAAACAACTGATGATGCTCTGGACTCGGCAGGTGCGAGTTGCAGAGCCGGATTCTTTTTGGAGGACTATCATGGCAGCTTGGATTGCCTCCAGTCTTATCAATGACCCAATATCTCCTCGTCTATCTGTCGTGTAATCATTCAAAAACTCGATAAGATGGTCTGAGATAGCATCCGTTATATCTGCAACATGGTCAGCATCGTTCACTGTGCATTGTGATTCACGTACCTATATACGGCAGAACACCATTGGCCAAACCCTTTACAGCTACTACTCGCTTCTCAATCAATTCTTCTTTTCCGGCACACTGTAGCAGTTCCTTTATGATTGACTGCCTCATATCGTCTTCAGGCCTAACTTGCTTGAATATGGCACCAAGGACTGAGATCTGGCCGCGGCCAGTCGGTAACTTCCAAGTAGAATGAATGTACGAAAACCAGCCATTTATCGTCTCTTCTTGTTTCGATGGCGGTAGAAGAGGGAACAACTCCGATATAGCATCTGAAGAAGTTTCTATCACAATGTCTTCACTTCGAGAAATACAGAGTAAGAGGGTTTCTCGAGCATTATCAAGCAAAGTAACTGATGGCTGAGATGGATGGGAATCTTTTGTTAAAGAAGCCGCTCTAGAAAGGGAGTATACCAGACGTGATGATGCTTCAGCAGTCAATTCAGGACGTCGAACTTGGAGCGTCAAGTCCTCTTTTGTGGGCCCAAGCGGGGAACTAAAAATATCCCAAAGGTGTTGTATTTGCGTGGTAACCTCCAAATCTTCGGACGGGTCTTTGTTCTCATATGGTATTTCTTGGTAGGAGTTAAATGCGTTTACTGTGGCTGAGAGGGCCAAGAAACACCCATGTCTCGTTTCAACATCGCCTCGAGGGAGGCTGGAGATTTTCTTGAGCAGTCGCTGAAGGACAATCTTCATCGTCTTGTAGGTTTCATGAGTACTTAGGACACCTATCGCATTTGCCGCCTGTCTTCTCGACTCAGCATCTGGCGAACCAATTCCTCTCCAGTGCATCAATGACTCAACAAGAGGACTCCAGTATTGACGGCTTAAGTCTGCCGTAGCTTTTGCAACATCAATCATTGCTCGTGAACGGCGTGCCACGGCATGGTAATCCACGACCTGTACTAGCGGAATACCTTCAACGATTGTGTTAGGATGACGACCAATTAACTCCTGCAAAGCAGCAGAAGCACCTCTCCGAATATTACCGGATGGGTCCACACAAGCGGCGCATATCAACTCCGTAGCCAACGTCTGCAATATGCTTGGCTCCTTTTGGCTCGTAGAAGTACTTATTGTCTGTGCATCCAGTGCGAGCAGCTCCTGAGTTGTATACTTGCGAGATAGAGCCCATATACCGAAACATGAAGCATCACGGACCCCAGTGCCGACAGAGCTTCCAGTCGAGGATCTCTGCTCAAAGTCGAGTCCCGAAACGAGTGGTTGCAATATATTAAGGAGTTGGTTAGTCGGAGGGGCACGGCGGAATAGCAAATGACCCAATGTTAGTATGAGACCCTGCCATCTTTGAGCGTCAACAGCGCTCAGGTTTCTTTTGGTATTGTTCATTCCAATACTGCGTGCTTCAAAGGGTGTTATGATGGTGCCATCACTGTTTTCATAGAGTATGTTCTCCTCCAAAGAACCGGTAACTGCCTCTATAACCTCGGTACCCATATCCAGATCTAGCTTCAATGTAATTATACTGAGTGCTTTGCTCGCAGCAAATCGCACGGGCGTATCTTTATCAGCAAGAGCCACCAGAAAGTGGTCAATGGTATCTTCCAAGATGGAAGATACCTTATCGTCCGACAGGGGGCTATTCGCTCTTTCGCTAAGCTGCAGCGCCATAATTGTCATGGTACGGAGGATTTTAATGATAATTTTCCGCGCCAACGCAGATGATTGAATGATCTGGGAAATTTCTGAGTTTCCCTGAGCAGTTCGTAACGTCTTCTCGAACACGGGCACGATCAAGGGAGCAAAATCCTCAACCTGACCTGAAGCACCCAAGCGTGCAAGGAAAGAAAGGACACCGATGCAAGTATAGACAGATGGCAGCTCGGAATTCCCTGCAGGTTGTACAATGGAAAATGCCCATTCTGTCACATTAGTGAGCAGACCGAGGGCCTGCATGTCCCGCCGCAGTACAAGACGTGCAAGAACCACAGTGGCAGCCTCACGCTCTTTCCCAGAGACATTGACATAGTTCAACGATACTGAGAGAAGAGACCTCGAGACTGTTGGTACGTCAGCCGGTAATGGTCTAAGTTGATCCAGATTTTCATATGGCACAGGAATATCGTCTGATGACATAGACGCCAAGTCGAAAGGAGCGAGCAGCAAGTGCGAGAGCCATATCAACATCACGTAGCGTTCCTCCCAAACAAGTCGTCGAGGAATGTCCTCTGACAAGCCGATTTCTGAATCACCTTGGGATACTGTATCCCATTCGATAAAAGCCCTGAGTAAAGGGTCAAGGTACTTGGGCTCATTATTCAAGAACCTGCTAATAACCTTGACCCCACGCACTTTGCAAAAAGTGTAAAGAAGCCTACATATTGCCCTTGGCAAGGGATAAAGTGCCCGCTGCTGTTGCGGGTTATCTGACTTATAATTATCGCGGTGCTTTAGCAAGTACGCTAAGAAAGCATCAACCAGAGGTGGCAGCAGCGTTTGAAGGTGTGGATCCAACAGCTGAGGCCATTCTTGAAAAGGCTCCAGCTGTAGCAAGAATTCATGTTAGCGAACGGCAACTCAATACATTTCCAATTTTTCCCAGTTTATTGAGGGGATATTGTCAACTTAACTTACAAGGCCTACGAGTCTCTCCGTCTTAGCAGCCTGTGTCCATCTTCGTGGAACTCGGGTATCTCCTTTCTCCGTTCGTGGCTTCCAGAGCAGAGAGGGCAGTTTCTCTGAAAATTCCGTCACCAAGTCGCCAGAAGCACGCTGGAGTTTTACCTCCTTATCTTCTATTGCATCCATGATGGGATCGCGTCAGAAGCGTTGAATATTATAGGGGCAAATGTCAACACTCTAAACCGCGGGGAATCGGTCAACATTGTATTAGGTCATGTGACCTGAGGGAGGCCCTCGACTATACATCGTAAAGAAGTTTCCAAAAACAGTGGGAATAAGTATATCTAGATTGGTCTAGGTTTGATCATATATGAAGATCTATACGCATGACTATATTCCAAAGGAAATTAAGCGTGGTTCGTAACCTAGAACCTCCACAATATCCACGATATATATACAAGGGAGAAACTGTAGAGCACGTTTGAAGAAACACCATTTAACGATTTCAGAAGGTCGTATACATATTTATGTAAGAAGAAACATATATACTGTCCTAGTTAATCCAGCACAGCTAGAACCATTCTCAAAGGAGCAGAGCCATAGTCAGTTGCCGCATATCATTAGATATCCACATCCGGGGTTGAATCTGTGCGCAGAGGAAGCCTAACGAAACCAGCTAGCCCATTATCTGCGAGTCGCATCATGGTTTCCCGGATTTTCATAACTGTGATAGCGACCGCAAGTGAATTCCAGACATCGTGTCCTGCATCTCCCAAGTCAAACTGGCAGATGTATTTGCTGTCGGTATCATTAGGTGTGTCTAAGATGTCAGTGCCGAGAGTTAGGATTGCAATGATAGGGCCACATATGATAACTCCAATGAGGAGTGGATAAATTGGAGAGGGACCAGAGTGGCCATCGTCTTTTTTGTTGGGCTGAAGATTAATCGAACCATGACCTCCATCTAGGGCTGCCACATTCAACGCTTCGCGGTGCCGGCTGGCGAGTAGTTGTAGGCGCCGGTTCAGCTTTTTAACGGCATCAAGTGTGGTTTCCCCTTTCTTCTGGGCATAAGTGACATGTACGGGGATTGCATCTGTCCTTGTATGTATGTCAGTATCACGCAAGGCCCAGCGAAAATATTGGCTGATGGTGGTTTTGATCAAGTTCTCGGGACCCTTCTTCAGAACTCTACAGTCCCTTACGCGACCCCCGAGAGAAAATAAAGCTGCGAGAGACCTGATTGCTACACTGGATTTTAGCAAATTGTGGTATACCCAAAAGAAATCCTAAGTGGAGTTGAGTCATGAACTCACCATAAGTCTTGGAGCTTTTAAATGTGTGGATTAGTGGCCCGGAATCGCCCTCTGCATTAGAAAACAGGGTATATGGAAGGGTAGGGAAGTCTGGTCTCCATTGCTCTGGTATGAGGGGCTCAAATCCACGCATGGCGAGCCGGAAAAAAAGATCTTTCTCTTTCTCGCTATAAAGACCTTCAGGAATGTCAATTGCGTCAGCCCAGCGCCTGGCCTTCTCTATAGAAAGGCTAAAGGCAACAGTCAAATCTCTGGTGACACGGAAATCTGAATCATCAAATATCTCTTCTTTTATCTGGGGCATAAAGAGGACTGCATTAGGAGAATGACTTCTCTTCCGAGCCACAAGTTGCTTTGACGCCATGGTTTTCTCATTATCAACTGTGGTGCTCCTTGAATATTTTGGCAAAGGCAAAAATAGATTCCCAGCTGGCCCAGGAGAAGGCAGTCTATTATAATGCGTGGCAGTCGAGATATCGCTCGTGGAACCAAGTGTAGAATGGCCGGCCTCTAACAGTGATTTCGCCTGGTGCCATGCATGTGTACTGACACTATTATTCTTTGGCTCTTCAACTGGATCAGGAACGAGTCCAGGGGAGAAATGAGTCATCTTGTCCGGTTGGCCGTTGAACTTCCTTCTCTTGGAAGACTGGCCAGATGCGATATATTTCAGACTAGAAGCGTCGTCAGGTAACTTGTTTTTCTTCAGCGGTGTTCGCTTTGTTGTACGAAGCTCTGTGCATACTTCGTCTTTGCCAGTAGTATGCCTCGGGTCTGAGATCATTCTCTTCTTGACTTTGGTCTTATTAGAAGTGAGAGGTTGAACGTTCGAATTCAAAGGTTGATTGAGTCCATTCGAGTCCTTTATCATATTGTAAAATCTGCGGCTTTTCATTTTGGTACGTGTTAATGGGAGCAATTAAATGTCGCCAAGTGTGTTATTTCCAAAGGATCAATCGAGGAACTGGAAGATTCGTCTGCTCTTATTACACGACAGTAGTAAGTAACGTAATGAGGCGAGCGCAGCAAGAAGACCCGTGTGATTATGCGAGGATTTTAGAGTAAGAAGTATTTCCCACGAGGGGTCGGTGAATGATTTTTCTCTTGAGAAGCTTGAGAAGATGGGGCTTTTGTCAGGATGATGGCCAATTGATACTTCGCAAAGAATCCGTAGTGGTAAAGCGCACTGCAGGATGGTGCTCTGGAAGACAATGAGAACAGAATAAAATCATATCTATCATGGAATAGGTGTGTGTTCATTCCAGTGTGCAAGAGGACTCCAAGTTTATAGTAACACAAGTTAGAAAGATGGATGTTTGGCAAGTAAGAGGAGAGTTGGGGTCATGGGACGTATTTGTCATGTTTGGTGGTCCCGGTCAGCTACTAGTACAAGCCTAGGGACAGACAACCAAATCAGTGTGCAGACCCGTTACATTCAAATATAGGCAGGAATGGAGGGTCCTAGTGCTTGTTGAACAGTCGAGTAGGGCACATTCAGGGCGAACAGTAAAGGAGGAATTACATTCCGAGAATGGGAAGTAAACCCCCAAGAGAATTAAATAAACGGCCTAGAACGCTGGGGAGATATAGGATAAAACAACCTCAGACCAAATTACTCATTCCATTCCATTTGCACTCGCAAAAGCCAGAACAGCGCTTACACCTGCTCTCAAAACTCTCATGGGTATGTTATTAAACATTTCCAGTGCAAAAAGTGCTGAAGGGACTAACAATCAAGAAGGCAGAGAAACAAAGAATTCAAGATCCACGTCGAACAGAAGAGTAATAACTGCGTTGACTGCAGGTCATTAATCACCAATGAATATAGATTTGGATCAGGCAAAGTCTGCCGTGTAAGAGAAACCGCGGAATTCTTCCTGCATGGCTTGGGAGAGGACTGGAGAGAAAATGTCATGGTCAGCGTTAGATGAAAAAATCGCAGAGGATAGTTGCTTACCGGATTGCACGGGCGTCAGAACAGGTGTGACGCTGGTGAATTCCTGGTCGAAGTTGCTTGTATCCGTGGGGCTGGTGATGGTCGGCAAGAACGGAGGAGGGACGCGCTTGTGGTAAATATCATCCCAGTTGATGTTCCTGAAGAAGGCATGAGACATGACCTCTTGGGCATCGGTCGGGCCGGAGCCAAGTCTTAGTTCTGGCTCGCGGGTGAGTAGTTTTTGAAGGATCGAAACGGAATCCCTAGGCATGTGGATCGGATACAGGGGTTCATCGGCAAGAATGGCATCATAGATTTCATCCTCATCTTCACCACGGAAGGGAGATTGTTGCAGAAGCATCTGGTAGATCAGCACACCAAATGCCCACCAATCAACTGCTCGACCGTATTTCTTATCCAGAATAATCTTTGAAAACATGTCAGTCAACCATGACTAGATCTAAGAAGCCTAGGGTATCGGGGTTTACCTCAGGTGCCATAAACTCGGGAGTTCCACAGAATGTGCTTGTGGTGGCGCCATACCACATATTCTCCTTGCAAAGACCGTAATCTGCAATCTTGATGTGGCCATCAAGCGTCAAAAGAATGTTATCGAGCTTCAGATCACGATAGATGACACCGTTCTCATGGAAATATTTGAGTGCCAGCAGAACTTCTGAAGCGTAGAACCTGCATTTTGTATTAGCACTTATAGCATCTATCTTCACGTGAGAGTAAGGGGATTTGGGAGAGGACTCGGAGGCTAGAAGAACGTACTGTGCTCGTTTCAAACCAAACTGGCCACGTTGAATGTGCAACATCAGATCACCACCGCTGATATATTCCATAACAAAGTACACACGGGTTTCTGTCTGGAAGCAGGCGTGGAGATTAAGAAGGAATGGGTGGCGTTCTTTGTTTGCAACCAAGAAGACACGCTTCTCAGATTTGGTACTCTCCACTTCATCGTTCTCAATGATGAATTCCTTTTTCAAAACCTTGATAGCATAAAGCTTCTTGGTGCTCTTGGTTTCAGCCAGCATGACCTTTCCAAAGTTACCTTTACCAAGGACGGCCAGGAAATTGAAATGATCCAAGCCAATCCTGACCTTGGGTTGCTGGGGCGGAGCATCTTCTTTCACAGCAACCTGCTGCTGCATTACTGGCACAGGCTGCTGCTGTGGAGGTACACCGTAAGGCGACGCAACCTTCTGCGGCATCTGCTGTTGCGGCGGGGGCGCCATGCTTTGTTGGTAGGACACATACGCGGCAGGGTCATAGTGGGCGTGCGAAGGCGGCTGGGTTTGCACCGGACCTGCTTCTCCGTGATTAGCCTGGTCATTTCTACTCCAAAAGCATAAAAAGGAAACGAATTGGAGTTGAGGGAGGGGCTGTAGGAAAACATACTAGGCGTGTGCATGCCTGTGGCGGCAGCGGCAGCGGCAGCGGCAGGACCTGTAGATGACGTTCTTGGCGGCATTTGCTGTCGCTGTGCGACCGTTGGAGACTGTGGGGGTATATAGGAATTGGTTGCAGCGCTCACGGCTTCAGCAGAAGGCTCTCTTTGAGGTAACCCATACGGGCTCTCCACAGGCTTTTGCGGATATGCAAGAGTAGGATCTTGAGGGGTTTGAGGCGCACCACCTGGCCGCAGGGTGCGACCACTGAGACCAGAACTGACAGAAGGGGATTTGTTGTAATTCTTAGCACGAATCAACGTTTCTAAGATCTGGTTCGCAGCTTCCATGGACATGCCACAGAAGTCAGGTACAAGATGAGTACAGTTGGCATGGCAAGTGAGGCCACATTCTAAGAACAATGTAAGCATCAAAGTCATATACACGGATTGGAGTTCGTAAGGAAATCATACCTGAGCATCGCTTGGCATTTTTACGTCCAAATGGAAGCAAGTACCCGCAGTGACAACACCAGTTGGCAGAGAGGTTGGAGAAGCCCTCGAACCGATGCGGAATACGATGATTAATCTTCTCCTCGTCTGGATCCGTCTCGTAGTTTGCTTTGCTGATACACTTGGTAACGACCTTTGAATAACACTTGCGGTGACACGTATATTTGCAGTCGGCACATTGCATACCGGCAGCATATTTCAGGAAATCGCCACAGAGAGCACAACGCATGATGTTGTAAAATTGTTGAGTGACGAACTTGTGTCCCTGCATTTCGTGGACCTCTTCCTTCTTCTGACGAACGGCACCCTGTCGGTTAAGACCAATGTCGAACGGTCGTCGATCCTTCAATTGTTTGGCTATACAACAGGTTAGTGCACCCGGCCATAGAATAATACACGAGCCATAGAAACATACCAAAGCTCATTGACAGATGGATTCGACCAACGGGTTCTAATGCGAACCAAGATTCGATCATCACTGAGTTTGAGGAGGGCGCACCACCCGGAGCACCTGCATAACCCTGCGCAGGAGGACCAGAATGCCCCACGGAGCCTGGGGCATGCGGAGATCCCGGCTGCCCAGCGGTGTCAGGCCGCCCCGACGAACCGCCGTGTTCCATCTTATCCGCAGAAACCCAACCTGATGCATTGAGCTCGCTTTCGAGCTTTTTGCGACGCATCTCTTCGGCGATATCGGAGATGCGCACCCAAAGCATGCCAATCGGAGTAGGTCTGTCACCCGACTTGTCATACACGGTAAGTTCGATTTCGTTTGCTTTGTCAATGTCAATAGTGAAGGTCTCATCCTGCCACCTATCGGTCCGGGTCGCTTTTGTACGGGCTTTGATAGTGTCTTCAACTTTGATGATGACGAAAGTCTCTGGGCCCCGAGAGAATCTCGAGCTGGTGGCATGATCTACATCAGTAACTGCCTGAATGCGCAATGTTAGAAGACCAGTAAGTGGCTTGCGCATGTTGGGTGTGTTCAGACTCTCATCTAGAAAACAAGCTGTTAGCTCCTATGCGGCGGTCACCGATGTGGTGAGAACATACCGTCTGGAGAGTCTGTCGATTCAATTTCAACGTGAAGATCTTCATATCGCTTCAAGGCCTGCTTTAGCAGCTGGATTTTCTGATTGCTCTCGATCCGCCGACCCTCAGCATCTGCGCGACTCTTCCTATCACCCTCATCTTGATACAGGCGAACCATCTTCTCAATACCCGCTTTGTATTGCTTTTCAACACTCAATTTAAATTCGAGTTGGGACAACATGAGTTGGATCTTAGGTCCGAGATACGGGGTATCATATTTGATCAAGTCTGAACACAGCACAGCGTCAGTTAGACATCCTGGAAGCTTGCAAGGCCCCTGTCGGTGCTGAGCGACAGGTAAAGCATACCAAGTTTAGAGAAATTCGGCCGGGCCTTGGGAACAGGAGCGAAAGGCCGGGGATCTGAAAAGGGAGCGCCTGTCGGCATGGAACCAGATCCTCCTTGCGGGTAAGCCCCCGAGGCGTCATACTCGTCATAGCCGGAACCATAGTCCTTCGGAGGAGGGGCTGGTCCTGCACCCGGTTCAGGCGGGAGACGCTTGTCTGTGGGGGATCCTCCGTCTCGACGTAGCTGCAACTCTCTCATCTTCTCCTCTAGGTAAGCAATGTTCTTCCGACCATCACGAATATTCGCATCAACTCTCTGTTGCACGAGGGGGTTGTCGGTTGACTGTCGCATATTGGACGCGGCGGCGATCAGGGCCTTTTCCCGCTCGATCTTGCGGTAGACCGAGGCGATGAGGTCGTCCCCGTCCATGTTGAGAGGGTGGTGGGACGACGACCGACGTTCCGATTTATTTCAACTGAGAGGACAGCAATGCGATCAATAATAGATGGGGATAGAAGTGTGGAATACAGCCAGCAGGCAAAGCGTACTAGAGGGGAAGAAAACGTTCGCCGCGGGGTACTTTTGTTGACAGATTATTCTAGAGAGAGAGGGGATGGATGATCAATAAATCGCAACGGGACTGACAGTCACCGTTCCCGTTAAGTTAATGCCACTCGGGAAAGACAGGTTCCCCCGTTACGATGACGAGCCGTGCCAGACAGTCACTCTCGGTCAATGCCCGCAGGTTACTGCGGAAGTGGGGAGAAGGAGAAGAGTCGGACAGCGAGAGGAGATAATTCCAGCAATGAAGTCTCTGTCACCGCACACAAAGCATAGAAAAGGGAAAATTGTTTTTGGAATCCTTTCCTTTTTTTCTCGGGGGGAGGGGGAGGAAGTGGGTTGACTTTTTGGTGTCCAGACTTTACTTTCTTCGTTGTTTTTGCTTTACCGCCCGCATTTACTCCTCAGGCAGTCGCGGGACGGAGGGGCAAGTCAAATAACTTAGTCCTTGGGTAATTTTATCCGATGGGGGAGCACGTGTGTGTCAAAGAGGATTTTAAAAGTAATAAGTACTAGTCATTAAGGTATACATTCGGAAGAGTCAGACAAGCATTTCAAATTGCCGTGGTCACATAGTTGGTATATCCTATTCCGAAACCGCAGAAACTCTTCAAGAATAAGACAAGACCAAAGAATGTCTCGGGAGGTGAACTGCTGACAAAAACAAAACAATGATGTAAATAAATCCAAACGCGAATTGCCCCGAGTCAAGGGACTGTTGTACCGAAGTGTCTGACAGGTGGTGGCAAAACAATGACCCTTTCACTGGCCTCGATTCCTTCTTCACGGCAAGAGGGAGACTGTTGTTCCAGTCAGAAAGTAAACTTGTCTTTGTCATCTGGTATGCTGTAACTATGTACATCATTAACACAGGGTCAGCCCCAGCTTGCCCTGTCTATTTCCTCTTTGGGCGTAGATTGCCTGGCCGATACCAATACCCTTACTACTTACTAGTAGGTACAACTACCTCCAAATCCATAGATAGGACAATGAATCCCCCTTTCTTTTCTTTCCTTTTCTCTTGGTTTTTATTAGTTCCTTTTCCTCGTCTGTTGTTTCCAACAGGTATACGAGCCAGCAATGGAAACGGTCTCTTCGTCATCTCTCGCAGTCTACGGATAGTCACACTGCACAGTACCTCCAACTAATGCCCTGATCGGTCGATCTGAGAGCATTTACATAAGCACGACATAAGACATAACTATAACATGTAAAACATGCACCTTCTGCGTACGAGGATTGTCTTGCCATAAAATTAGTAGTGGGTTGGATGCCAACAGATAACAGATCGGATCTTATGCCCCTTGCAGTGTACAGATGCAACAAATGGTCATGTGGCGCATCAAACAAGTACATCAGATGGTACCCCACTCAAAAGGGTCGTTTACTGTATTTTCAAAAACATTGTCCGGGTATAATGAGGCTTGTGTCGAGTTAGAGTTATCGCCCTGGTCCTCGAAAAGTGTAGACTAAACAGGAGAAGATTATAGAAACGAAAAAAGAGTCTGCTTAACGCTACCGAAACAAGGATATTGGCCCGAGTCGGCACCATGCAGTAAAAGACACATTAACCTTTTATTCAGATCTCTTCGAGATCCGAGGCAGGCAGGCCCAGCCCGTGAGCATCACACCGTATAATCCGATACAGATCGGGTGCAAGACAAACGTACCCACTTTTTGAGCAAGAAGTCCAGTGAAAAAAGGCGATACGGCACCACCACTGCTGCCTAATGCACTGATAAAACTCAAACTTGACATCTGCATCGACCGAGGGAGCAGCTTGCTGAACACTGCTGTAGCGCAAGGGTAGACAGGTCCCAGGAGCAAACCCACAATAGAAACTGCAACGGCATCTCCGATAACGTTGGGGATCAGCCACGTCATCACTTGAAAGGCGACTGATCCTATCACAAGCAAGATGACGGACAGCTTCTCTCCGATCATGTGGGCCGGGTGGGAGAGGGCGAAACGCCCAAGAGTGATGCCAGCCCAAAATCCTGCACTCACGTACCCTACCTGCGAGGGGTTTCCATCACGATAACTGATAAGAAATGATACGACCCAGCCTGAAATAGAGACCTCCGCACCCTGATATGCAAAAATAAAGAGTGCACCGAGCAGAGTGGTTCTGTTTTTGACTGCCTGCTTCAACGAGTGTGTCTTACTCGAAACGCCATGATCATGATCCTGTTGGGAAGTATACTGTTGAAGTGTAGTAAGCAGTTGTACGGGCAGGTCCTTTTCGTACCCACGGAATGTCCAAGCCGCAAATGCTGCGTTGAATAAGGCTAGGGCAAGCGAGATACAGTAAAAGAAGGACCATCGGACTCCATGGGACGCCAAAGCTGTCGCTATAAGAGGCCCTATGGTTCCTCCAATCCCATAGCTGCCGTGAAGGAAACCCAGCGCTGTGGTACTGTTCACAAGATTGGCGCAAAATACGTTGTTGAGAGCAAGTTGTAGAGCAAGCCCGAATCCAAGGAGAAAGAAGCTCGCTACAATTGCTGGGAATGGCGGCTTGCATACAATAATCACGTATCCCGCAGCGAGTACAGCCATGGACAAAGCATAGGCCTTTGACCGTCCGAGTTTGGCCGCTAATGCATGGGTGAAGGGTGCAGCAAGGATGAAACCAAGAGCATTGGTCACGAAAATTAGAGATACAACGGCGTAGCCAATATTATAACCCTCCTCAATGTAAGGGATCAAGGCTCCTGGAGCGCTGTCGTTCAACCCGCCGCCCAAACTCATCAGACAAGCACTGAGCAAGCGCCATTTCGTTTGTGATGAACTTGCCTGGTCTGCACTTGGATACACAGATTCGTACACATCGGGCGCAGGGGAATGGTTCTCCACTCTTGTAGGTGTAAGTGGAGTGGTGGTGCTAGAATTCGCCTCCGTCGCTTTGGGTGTTGGCCTTGAACCGTACCGAACTTCATTTAACTCGAGATCAGAAGATGCATTGACAAGGCCATGTTTATCCCTGTGCACCGCAGCTGTCGGGTTCGCGATTGGTGGTGAGCTTTCTAGTTGCAGTAGAGCACCAAACACCGACGTAGACATATTGAGCCTCTGTCTTAAACGCACTGGATGCCCAAGACAGACATCCAAAAAGAGGAAAAGGAAGGAAATGAAAACAAAGAGCAAGGTTTATTTAATCTACTCCCCGAGGCCACAAAACAGCGGTCGACGGATTTGTAAAAGAGAGAAAACGGAATCCGACCGTCAATATTATCAATGCAAGCGGAATTCACGGAACCCGATTGCTAATCCTCTTAATGTCAAAATAAAAGAGGGTCCCAGACAGCTCCGAAGCGATTGGAAAAAACGCCATCACAGATAGACCCAAAACCATCTTCTGCTGACATCTCTTGTTGGGAGGCCCCTGGAAATTTTCCCGGGACGGTTTTAAGTGAGTGAACTAATGCTCTAAGTAATTAGTACTGGTTCATTTATTTCTTACTGTTGTACGTTAATGAAACTTTGAAGGTTAGCAATGAACTTCATGAGAAAACCCTGGTAGAACTCGAGAGAGAAAATGTATAGCCTGTACTCCGTACTACGGGTAGTAGTGTGGGTGGAGGAGATTTACTCCGGAGTAAACAAGGCCACTAGGTGGAAGGCCAAAGAGATCCACTGCAGGTGACCAGTCAACTTTCAAGAACCACACCCCTCCCCACATGCTAATTTGGGGACCTTTTTTTTTTTTTTTTCCTAAACAACCCCTCCACTATCAAAATAATTATACTACCCCTCATCACAGCTTATCTGACTAGCAATTGCTTCGTACGAGACAGCATTTAAGAGACTGCGACACTTTACGTCCAAGAAAAGAGAACCCAATTAATTGCAATAGACCATCATGGCACCACCACGGCGCAAGGTACTAGCAACAGCGGAAGAAACTCTGACCCCTCCAGACGAGCTCCAACAAGGGCAGCATATCGCGCGAGTCAGCAAGGCAACGGGGAACAATTTATATGTGGTCGAACTGCCATCAAAAGACACAGTTTTGGTCCAACTACCTTCCCGCTTCCGTTCCAGAATCTGGATGAAACGCAATTCCTACGTCGTGGTCGATATGAACGCTCTTGAGGACCGTGACAACAAGCTTGCTGGGGAGATCGTTAATATCGTCCGGGATGAGAAAGCCTGGCGCAAGGCTCCATTCTGGTAAAACGACTTAGCCAATTCCTTCTTGGTACTTTGACTGATTCTGTTTTCACAGGCCGAAGGAATTCGTCAAGCAATCTACTGTTATTGCATCGGATTCAGAGGATGAAGAAGAGTCAAAAGTGGGCCAGATGCCTCCCTCGGACGACTCCGACGCCTGAACTAATTGACGCGCGGCGATCGCTGCATCCATGCACGTGCGTCTACGTCTAATGAGAGCCACGAGGGTCAAGAGAGGGAAACAATGAAGGCAACGATCAATTTGCAGCCAATGAGTGGCTTATTATCACTGGATGTGCTCCTTTCCGTTGCGCTTCGGAGGTGCACCGTTCAGTGCGTTTCTGCTATTAAAGAGGATACCGAAAACCTGAACAGCAAGTGAGAAGACAACGACCGAAGAACTGGTATCGGTGCTTGGGTAGACATTCCAGGCCCACTCCTGCAACGCCCAGGTCGCGTATATAAGGATCGGATGGAATCCAGCCCGCCAGAGAAGGAAAGGCGTAGCCCAGGAGAGATAGGCGAAGAATTGGTAATGAAGGGACCTTGCGCACAACAATCCGATCACGAGCGATGTCAACATCACGGTCATCATGAAAGACTTGGAAAGCGCCACGGTGCGTTGGCGTCCTTGGAGCAGGTTCCGGAGGAAGCCAGAGAGGTTGGATCCCGATGGTCGTAACCAGCCTATGGCGGCAAATAATCCCAGCAGACCAATATGCAATGCTAGCAAGGCCAAAGAGAACTGTTTGGATAGGAACAATTCTTCACCCACAAACCTCCAATTGACAGTCCACTTGAACATGAACTGTCTAGTCAGCTCAAAGGCCCGCGCGGCGTATCCTGTAGGGTTACCTTGTAGGAAAGGAATCGCTAGTAGAACCTAAACATTCGCAAGTCAGCCATAGCTTGACTCCCCTGGTTGGATATGATATGCGTACCTGAATGAGCAATGCTAGAATTCCAAGACGAATACTCGGTGCGAGGGAAAGGCTGAGTACAGTTACCACCGCAATGGCTGGCGCAAGGAGCAGTAACGTCATCTTAATGCCAACCCCAACAGACCAGGCCGTAACACCAGCCGTCCATTTTTTATTCTGGAGGAGCAGGATTGCTGTCCACATGGCACAGGCTGCAAGGCCATCATTGAAAAGGCGCAAGACAAAGACACTGTGGAGCCGCTTGGAAAGGACAAGGAGAGGAAACAGATACGGAGGAGCTCCTGACTGCCTGTAGCAAGCCATCACGACCGCTAGCGTGGCAAGGTAGAAGACAGCAAATAATATCTGCCCGAAGAGAATATCTCGGCCTTCATCTGTTAGGTGATAGAGCGCTGTGTAGCTATATACGTGGGCGGCCGGGTATACAAGGGGTCCAGTGGATCCCTTAATCAAGGTATAGTCGCGTTCACCAGAGAGGTAAAGCGCTATCTGTTGCATGTATGTCGTCCAGTCGATCTCAGTATCTAAATGCAGTCGCACCGATTAGCTCCACATGAGGAAACAACACAATGATAGCAATACAAACTTACATGGGATCTTCCAGATGATAAGAGCACATAGGAAGGCATCGCCTACGATAAGAAGTGGTGCAATCCATTTTGTATGTCTGGGGTTCAGGCAGAGTTCGTGGAGGAAGTGCTTCAACTCCATCGTTGATGTTGTGCTGGAATTGTACAGCAGTATGTGGCCTCAGGCGGGAGGACCAATGATGTTTGACCATTTCCGGCTTAGCGGCATTTTTTTCTAATCCAGATACGTCGCGCTGCAACAGTAGGTATCGACCCGGAGCAAGGGAGGGCGCAATGGAGACAGAGTAATAAAATAGCTTTTTAAGAAATTGATTGAGTCAAGTTATAGACATAAAAATGCCATTGTGCATCATGGCTTCAGATGACTATCTGTACATGGGTATATTGCTGGCATTGAGTTTGGTGCCTCCGTGGCATGACCCAATGCCAATAGATATTCTAAACAGTAGGTCCAACATTCCACCGATCGTATTCATAATGTATCTCCTGTAATGTCACAAAACCCGCTTGCATACAACAAAATCCTTTGGGTCTCGTGGCTGGGAAAGCTCGACCGTTGACATCTGCGTCGAGGTTCTAGTTTTCGTTGACGCCTTTCGAAAAGCCAAGCAATTCACCCAGAACTCCGCCAGGCTTTGGAACAGGACACTCTCTTCCCGCCTTGGCCAATCGTTCAGCCTCCTCCTCCAATTGTAGGAATGTCGACACCTCGTCGGGCGTTTGCTGTGTCTGGGCGAGGGCGTTCCCTTCTGGTTCAAGTATTTCAGCATCCTTCCTCTTCCTCCTTCGAATTCGTGGGATCTGTTGCCCATCAGCGGTGACAAGCATCTCCGAATCGGCGAGTGTACGACGCGGGGCAGGACAAGGGAAAAGGTGTGGCAGGCCGACGACAAAAAGAGACGCAAGGAGCGTGGCTGCAAAAAGAGAGGACGTCGACCGCGATCGGGGGTGTAGATGTGGCGGCATATTGACAATAATTGAGGGAGAAGATGGTTCTTTTCAAGGGCACTGGGCGTCACTACGGCATAGAAGGACTTTGCTGTGCGAAACTCCTTGTTAGTGAGGGACTAGGATAGGGAACGAAGCAATTGACATACCTTGCGAGGGAAAGTTCAGGCCGATTAAAGGAACAGTGAGGGAGCCGCCCAGAAGGGAGACATGGCCTCGCCAATGGTAGTGGGGAAAGCGAAAGGAGTATAGGGTAGGCCGGGGGAGACCGAAGAACGGAGTCAACGGAGTCAACGGACGTCCACTTGAAGGACTTCGACGAAGAATTCGGACTAGTCTTGGCGATCAGATCTAATCTTATCTCTGATGCATATGATTGGCTGTGGTGTCACTCGGACGCCAAACCGCGAGAGTCCCGTCAGTGTTGGCGCGCCACGGAAAAAGACCTCCCCCAGTTCATCGAACCTGCTCAATTTTTCGGAGATCCCCTGTCGTGTTCTCTTACTGGATGCTGTATCAGACAAGAAAATGATCGCTCCTTTGCCATCAACATAGCGGTCTTCATTTTTAGTGCTCCCTGGGCTGTCCAGGCTCAACCGACTCAGCGTCTTTCTCTCCCCCCCCCAACTCTTCGCTGGAGTTAGGACCCACCGACCACCCCTCTGCTTCGACTTACCTATCGATCCATTCCCAGTCTCTATCTTTGCGCTAACTCACCATGAGCGATCTCGATAGGTATAGGATGATCGAATGTTTTTACATATTCAAGGAACGCCGAAACTAACTTTTATCTGCGATATAGGGCGATCGCCCAATTACGCGCCTGTCGCTTAATACCCGAAACCCAGGTCCGTGAGCTCTGCTACAAGGCGCGAGAGCTCCTCATAGAAGAAGGAAATGTCGTCTGTGTAGATGCGCCAGTCACGATTTGTGGTGATATCCATGGCCAGTTTCACGACCTGATGGAACTCTTCCGAGTCGGAGGCGATGTCCCCGACACCAACTACCTCTTCATGGGCGATTTTGTCGATCGCGGATTCTATTCTCTTGAGTCATTCCTCCTGCTTCTCTGCCTCAAAGTGCGCTATCCAGACCGTATCACCCTCATCCGCGGAAATCATGAGTCGCGCCAAATCACAACGGTCTATGGCTTCTACGACGAGTGTATCCGGAAGTACGGCAGCGCCAACGTATGGCGTTATTGCTGTGAAGTTTTCGACTATTTGGCGCTAGGTGCCCTTGTTCTTGGAACAAGCTCGGAACTTGAACCAACAGGACCCGTTATGAACGATTCTACTCAGTCCACCATGCCAATTGACGACGCAGAGCTGGAGACCGAAGTACTAAACTCGAAGGGGGAGGTCACATACAGCTCATACCGACCAAGACAGAGTGCCTCGTCAGATGCAACAAAAGAGAACAGAAACATATTGCCATCAGGGGATATCCCAAGCCAGGCACCCCTCAGAACAGGTGCGCCCGGCACAGGTGCCTCGGGAGAAGGTGCGGGTAGCTATTCGAGCAGAACCGGAGCAGTCCTCTGCGTGCACGGCGGCCTCTCCCCCCTGATCGACACAGTCGACAAGATTCGTCTAATCGACAGAAAACAAGAAGTTCCCCATGAAGGCGCCATGTGCGACCTGTTATGGTCGGACCCTGATGAAATTGACGGTTGGGGATTGAGCCCGCGCGGTGCCGGGTTCCTGTTTGGCGGGGACATCGTGAAGCAGTTTAACTACACAAACGACCTATCCCTGATTGCGCGCGCCCATCAGCTTGTGATGGAGGGCTATAAGGAGATGTTCGACGGCGGGATCGTCACTGTCTGGTCAGCCCCTAACTACTGCTACCGTTGTGGAAACGTGGCATCCATCCTGGAACTCGGCGAAGACACAAGCAACGGTGGTACGGTGACGAGGAGCAATGGTGACTACGGACGGAGCAACGGCATTATGGCAACTGACAAGCCAGGCGTGAGGAGTCCCGGAAGAAGGTACAGGGTTTTTGAAGCCGCTGCGCAGGATACAAGGGGCATGCCCGCCAAAAAGCCTGTTGCAGATTATTTCCTGGTAAGTCACCCTTTTCTCCCTAGCCATGGCTCTCTCGTTCGTGCTTTCTAACTAGTTCAATAGTGATACCACTGACGCATAATTCCACTTCCTTTCTGTCCTATCTACATTCTTATATAGGCCGGCCCGTATCAGCTCTTTTATTCAAGACCCAGCGATGATTCTAGAAGTATGATGTTGTTGTGCATACTTTGCATTCTGAAGTTGAACCTGGAGTTACCTTTATGATCTGTTGAAAGCGGGGAACGATCTATTCTGTCTATTCATATGTCCATTGGGGTCGAACTGTCCATATCTTACACAGTGATTTTATTCAATGTCTCAGACGAATTGTTTCTTTTTTCAGCATAAATTATTACATTGAATATAAGATTTCAGTCACCCTCAATATATATCCATGTGGGTTCGTACAACTCGATGTATAGGGCGAGAATTAGCAAGGATCTCGAAATAAAAATATACAAAATCGTGGCTGATAGTACCCTGAATATGGGTTTTCACGAAAGAGGTCCAAAGCCTGTACAGTATACATTTCATTTTATAAAGATGTAGAAAACAAGCGGAAAGGGAGTCTGAAGAAAACGAAGAGAAAGACCGTACCCTCATTAAAATCATAAATAACCAACATCCCAAATGGTAAATCATAATACAGGCCGGACGTAGAAATGCCATCGAGCTCAAGACTGGTAGTTTCTCGGGTACACTGCCTCATTGTATCTCGGGATCGCGGGGTTCTCGTCCGGTTGTGTTATATTAGGAGGGACTCCCACAGCATACCTGACTGCTTGAGCCCTGGAAGTGTTGTCAGGCCCGGATGCCTGCCCGACGTAGCGGAAGTCGGGCGTCATCCCAGCCATAGCAGAGTTCCAGCCTTCTTTCCAATTCTCGTACCCTGGATTGAACGCATTCGCATCCCGAAACCACCAATCTTGGCTTTCTTCAACTAAATTCTCCGGTGTACCAAATCCAGTCATTGGAGATGCGCTTGATGTGGATGATATATCTTGACCGGTACCTAGTGATCGGCCTTGTGCATCCTTTGGATCATACCAAGAGTCATGCCGAGAGAGCGGGACAGTATGCATTGAGCCGTAAGCATGTGACACAGGCCGCAGATATGTTGGCTCTGGTAATTGGGCGTCTGTTCGTGGTAGTTGTGCACTTGAATACCGCTGAGCTGCTCGCATGGCCGACAGAGACGTGGGAATCGGCACCCCTGTCGCATACTGGGTGCCTAAAGCTCCAAGTGCATTGGAAGGGCCTGGAAATAAAGGATCGCCTGGTTCGCGTGTGGGAGCGAATTGGCCAGGCGACGGTAGATTGTTTGGAATTGTTGCAGGAGGTTGAGCTGCAACGGAAGATGGGGACTGTTCAGACGTGGAGGGCGATGATGCTGCTTGGTCCCATGAACCCCATGAACCCCATTTCAGATGGGTCTGTTCGAAAACTATAACCGCCTCGGGAGGCAGCTCAACTTGCCACTTACTGGCCGATATATCGAGGATTCTAAGGGTCCGTCGAGCGCAAAGCCAGCTTTCGCCCATTTCATCCAGGTGCCGGAGACAATGAATAACGTCTCTTTGAGCGTTCTTTTCCGGGAGGTTGAGCAGGTGGATGGTGCAGGCGGTATGAGCCATGTAGACTGCAACATTGCAGATCTGCTTGAACCCGTAGGTACGCTTGTATATTCGGAGCAGCTTTGAAATGGCGGAAGCAGCCTGCGTGCACAGCTTACGGGGAGAGACGTGTTGGGGAAGAGGTGAGTTTGACTTTGCGTACTTCAGGAAAGGGCGATAAAGGTGTATGAAGAGTAGTTGGTAGAACATACTGCAACATTGTTAGTATTATTGTTACAGTATATCAAGGATAGGCAATTTTCTGCTTACTGCATGAGTAAAGCCTGAGGTAGTAGCCTTTCTTTTGGTTCTAGCTCTCTAGGCAAGTCCTTCTTCCATGCCTCAAGCCTCGTGTGAATTTCACTGAGCCTCTTCAGTTCAACCTGTTTCGAGAGTGGTTTATCTCGGGGAGTTGGGTCATAGAAAGACACGAGTAGATCACCACTGATCTCACACAGTTTGGATATTTGTAATGCCACCGTTCTGGTCCGGGAGGGCTGTGTATTTTCAAGGCTCGCCCCAGCATCAGTGTAGGGAGACCACAATTCCGCCTCCTCGTTCGGTAGAATGTCAATCTTTGGCACGCTCACGCTAGTAGCTGCTAGTTGTGGAAGGCGACCAAGATAATTGGACCAGCATCTATGATAATTAGCCATTTGCTCGAGCATCTATATGAAGTAGCAGGGAGGGAAGTACTTGTCAATAAGGAAACAGCCCCAGAAAGTAATTCGCCGTGCGTCAACCTCCTCTTCATCAAGGTTGCGAGCTCCAAGGCTGGTTGAGTCGAAGTTTAGCCCTAAATCTAATGCCATACGAAAGCTCATGCCACTATAGACCCAGCCTTTGCCTTCGCGACCACACCCAGCCTCTCTGACAGACATGAGGGCGAGGGCTTGGACCGTGCAAAGTTTCGCATTTGCATGCTCATCATTTTCGAGCACAAGCCTTTTTGCTTCCTTGAAAAAGTGATCTCCTGCGGTTGCAGGATTCTGAGGGTCTTCCCGAGCCCCGTCCCAAGAGCTGAAGTGGCAGCCGAGAGCTAGCATTGCATTAACCAATAGAGATGAACAATACTGGCCGGAAACACCATGAATATAATCGCGATAGAAGAGATCTTTTGAGAGGGTTGTGAAAAAAGGGTAATGCCATGTGAAGTACATCGTCATGAGGTGGCTAAGTAATTGTTTATCCGTAGTCACTCTCGTCCATTGAGTAATAGAGCGATCGGGTGTATGGCCCACACTCTGGCCTTCCAAGTCCGTATTATACTCATAGAGCTCCGACCCAGGCGGCAAGAAGATGAGGTTCGAAGTGCCACCAATAAACTTCCGAGAGCCGTCCAGCATAAGGCCACTCATCTTTCCCGCTAATTCTGACTCGAACTGATCTGTCTGTGTCGGATCATAATCTCCATTAGGTATTGGATCCCTGGAAGTGGACGTCAAACTCCTTTCCTGACCCATAATCGACTGTGCTACATCTTCTAAATTGTCGCAGGATCGTATCTGTCGGACTAAGTCAAAAGCGTCCTCTTCTTCATAGTTCAGTATGGCTTGGATCAAGGTCAATAGAGTCGCATTCTTAGTCCGCAGCGTATCAGTGTCCTTCTTATACACCCCTTTGCGACGATGGTCGGAATTCGGATCATAAACACCTAAGAAGTAGTTAGTCATGTCTATCGCGTTACAAATTCGTTGATGTGGTGAAATTACAAGTCGTATGGTATACTGAGGAGCAGGCTGCACAGCTGGGTAGATTGCCATCGCACTGGGAGCAAACATTAGATGTGAAGTTTTTGGAGGCAGTGAAAGTAGCTCCTGTACCTTCGATTTCCTTCGGCGACAGGCGATGCAGGCTGTGCTGACACAGCGCCTCTTAGAAGTAGAACTGCTATCTGTGTTCATTGTCTGGGGCCGCGCACTCGGCTTTCCTCGAGGCCCTTTGAATGTTGAAGATTCCATAGCCAATTCTGGCCTCTTCTCCGCAGAGCCCTCGTTCATGCTTGTCAAGTCCACCCAAGAATGTTCGGATAAAGCGTAGGGTCAGAGCGGAGCATGCTTATCGAACGTGGGGAGAGCACTTGGCGCTTTGATTTTGAATGGATGTCACCGGGTCTTGAGTAGACGAGAGGTGACCTGCAGGTTACGTCGCGGGTAGTGAGGGCTCGACACAGAGATCCTGGTCTTGTGGTGAGCGCATTAGCTATACAGGCGCGGCGGCTAGTGTGTAGATGGGCATAACACCAATTGTCCAGTATCACGCAGGTCGATGAGCACAGATCATTAAAAGTTGGTAGATGGAATGAGATAGGTCGCCCCCAGACTGCTAATGACCCGCAAGTGGAGGCGGGGATTTTTATCGGGACCTGCAGGGCAGTGTTGGCTCGAACTCGACAGAGATAAGGGTCTGAATGAGATGCACAGACGATGATTGGACTAGGATGACGCTCAGAGAACGATCAGGCACGATAGATACTAGTAGCTGCTAGACTACTAATAGCTTCCTGCAGCCCATCCATTGAGTCTCGTTCTGGCAGCAATTCATTCTGAATCATTTGGTTGGCGAGCAAATCGCGCGATAAGCGGTCACCGCCTTCGCTTACTAAGAACTATGGTCTTTCGTCATTTCATCGCATTTCTGTTGTCGATTCATTTTCTTCATTTACGTATATTGTTCATTGATAAGTATCTTAGGGATTGTATACTATCTCGATCTATATCTTACAACCCCTGATTCTAGGGCTAGGTCAGGGCCTGTATGTAGTTCTTTCATTCTTCACCCCGAACTATCGTCCATTCACCAATCAGCGGTGTCATATTATAAGAAAAGTTGGAAATCTGATAGAGGGTCGTACATGACCTTAATTTATTTCATTCTATTTATTGTTAAGGGGAATAGCTACTACGTACTGTACTCCCTATGTATCTCTCCTTACACATTCCTTCCGATTTCCTGGTGTACAAAGTACGAAACCTCTCATGGTCCTAACAAGGAAAAGTCTCCCTGGGGGAGAAATTCTTCTCCAACCAATAGCTTGAATCCCAAGTTTTCCCTTACCGCTCTTCCCCAACATAGGGACGCTGACAACACATCGTATTCCAGCCTCAATAGACTACTAGCGCTAATAGTAAGGCACGATGAAGATATTATGCACCCAATGCAGATTATTACCTGATGCCAAGTCCCTTTACCCCATTTGGTTTAGTGCTGTGGAAGTTGCGGCATGCTTTCTTTTTTTTCTTTTTTTTCTTTTCTGCCGTTTGTTTGGAACCGAGGTGAAAATGCCATACAAGAAATATTTTTATCATTTGCCTCTTTTTTTCTGAAACAAAAGAGAGAGAGAGAGAACAAATTTTAGGAAAAAAAAAAAAAGAAATTTCCCTCCAACAGAAAAAAAGAAGCCCCTGGTAATATCCGCAAATTGTTTGATTACTCAGTTAGTCAGGCAATGGTAGTCAACCTATATCATAGACTCCTAGTTGATCAGTTGACTACTGCAGTGTACCTTACTCTTTCATTACTCCTAAGTCGGAACAATAACAAAACAGTTCATACATAGTTCAACAAACCAATTAATCGAATCGACGGATATGTAAAGCCTGCATAGACACTGGTGCCAAGGGAGCACTAGCATACCATTCAGTCCAATATAGGGGGACCAATTATGGAGGCACTCGGGTATTGTTGATGTTCAGAACTTCAGGTCCTAATAATACGAGGGTGAAGTCCAGATTGTATGAAAGATTAGGCGTAAGGTACAGAGTACTGTGCATAATACCATTTTCAGTTATTCTGTGAAACAAGTTTGGTTCTCCATCGCACAAAAGCAAAAGAGGGTTAAAAAAGAAAGATCTACGACTGATCACTATCTACAGAGTGGTATTATTGATTTTATTATTATTATTATTTTTTGTTAGGTGGTTGGGTAGATTTGGTCAATGCCAAGTCAATAGCCACACCCCATAACAGTCTTACCCAACTGGGGAAGGTTGAAACAATAGTTAGCGATACAGTTTACGTAACCCTGTAAGATGGAACTTCTGGTGGAGCGCCTAAAGGCTTCTTTGTACCCAACCCACATTGCTGGTGAAGTTCATTTACCTTCGAGAACATACAGTACGCGTGTTGTACGGCTGTGCACTGTAATTTTGTTCCACTGTCCACTGGGGCGCCTCGGCCGTACCGCACTTGAGCGTCACCATACTGTTTCCGGGGCTCGGCATTGTCCGCCCTTACCGCCCAAACCAGCCATCCGCCTCACTCTTTCTCTTTCTTCACTGTCTCACGCTTAACCCTGGGAAGTTAGCCTCTACGTATCGAAAATAGGTAGTATTGGAAATTACCCTATCTAAACGAAGTTACGGTCAACCTAAAAGCGATCCCCCTGCCGTCACTCTTATCGCAGTCGGAAGTCTTGAGGTCATTCTTTGTTTTTCTTCTCTTCTGCTCGCATCTTACTTTCACTTCCCGGGAATATAACCATTTCTCTTAAACCCGGTCCCTTCGTTATTTTGGTTTGGCCTGGGGACATACCGCCGGCATCCGATCACAGTTACCAGTATCCATTAATATCCGCAAAGTCGCGTGCCTGCATACGCATCCGGGCGGCTTCCCGCATTGGGTTTCATTTGGCTGACACTGCCGCTCGCCTGGACCCTCTGCCAACACAGCACCTTTGACGTATTGTGCATATTTGTTCGACTGCTCCCTAGGAGGAGTTTCCATTTTGGACGCTTCTCTTCCTTCTCCTTCGTCGTCCCACCATTCATCCATGTATCTCGCTCAGAAGCTCGATCAGAGTGCCTCGTCGGGCTTAGGACGTCTTGCCAACCAACTGTGCTTTGGCTATAAACTGTGAAGATGATGGTTCCTAGGGCATTTCTTTTCAGCTCCGTGCCTCCCCTGCACCATGGGAAGAAAAGTCAGCTCTCAAAGTCTGAGGTTGACTTGATTCCTGTGCAGGACGTCTCAGGCCTCGAGCTTCACGACAAGGAAAGCCCACACACCAGCCCAGTCATTATTCCCCATAAACGAGGTTCTCGAGTGACTCCAGTGCAAAGAGACCCTGTGAGAAAGGTTCCAAGGACCCCACGATGTGCAAAGTCTACTCATAGAACATCGTCGGCGGCCTCGGGTGACCGTCCTGTACCTACCTCTATTGCTTCGATTTTGCGAGCCACCGCCATACCGGTGCCTCGACGCAAGCGCAATTCTCGAGAGCCTCGAAGAATACCACCAGTGAATCATGTACAGGATTTCAGCAAGTTGTTGTTAGAAGGTGTCAAGTCCAGAGATGATAGCTTAATGGAGGGTACGGGCAATACCATGCTCGACATCCTCCTTAGCCCGCCTGAAGACAATGATCGGTTCGCGAGTGGAAGCAATTGTGATAGCGATAGCGAAGCGCCATCATTATCCGCCCATTCGTTGTCTATAGAATCGGTTCCATCCTTGGACGCGGAACTAGAGTCTCCATCTAGCTCTCCCATACCCTCTACACCTTCTATCCAACGAAGCCCATGTGAGAGACGATACCTACGCCTATCACAGTATGAGAGTTGTGCTTTTGATCATCCTTTATTAGAGGAGGACGAATTATCGGACTCCGAATGGGAGCCTGTGCAGCAGCCTGCCTTCTTGGACAGCACTCCAACGAAATCATCATCATCTCGATCCTTCCCACGGCTAGGGTCCACTTTCAAGTCCAATCTCACGGCATCACTGCGGGCAATAAAATCTGCGGCACAGACAGTTTCAACGTTCGCCACGCCCTCCGTTCAGCCCGATGATTTTCTTACTCGGTCTCTTCTTACAATCACACCGAAGATGACGGACGACCGTCGGCCTCCGCCCATGAACGAACCACCTTCTCCGGCGCTCCGGCGCTATTTCAATCCCGTTACGGTTTCACCCGCAGAAATTTATGCTTATCAGGATCACCCGCATGAAAACCTTGACACTAGCAATTGCCCCGTTTCCGTTCAGATGCAGACCTATCACCGGTCTGGAAAACGGGGTTCTCGAAAGAGTCGGTTCCACCTGCCGGGCTCTAAAGGTCGTGGTCGATATTCTTCTCCTTTCGATCCGGAGATCCCACCGATGTCCCGCCAGCGTGAACCCCGGGAGAACAGTGATTTTTTGCGCATGGTTGTAATGGAAATGAACATGAGACGCAGCGGCAAACTCCGGGACGACATTCCTACACGGGCGCGAATTTGGCTACCGCCTCGCAAAGGCAATCAAACCCGACACAGCCCTTACGGTTATAACGAAGACGAAGACGAAGACGAAGCAGAACATGCCGTCCCATCTAGATGGGTTGGGATTTCCGCCGACAACATGTGACATTCATGCTCTGATTGTCCGTTTCACATACAGGAGGCGTTCAAATTTCCCTTCATTAGCGTAGCGCATGGTGCCCCCTTTTCTCACCTTTCATTTTCGATCCCTTGCCTTTTTTTTTTTTTTTTTTTTCTCTTTTTTCCTTTTTTTCCTTTTTTTTTTTTTTTTTTAAAGTTCTCTTGGCTATATTGGCTATTGTACATATTGAGAGACGTACATTTGCATTTTGGGCATACAGACTGGGGCGAAGGCGTTCAGGGATCTTGGATGGTCACTTGCTTACAAACTTTGGCTTTTACATCCTGCTCTGTACATCATTGGAGACTTCCACTCCACGTTTTAGATTGAGAAGTCAAAAAGAATAAGATTGAGAGGCCTTGTCATAGATGGACATACTGTGGGTTTCATAACGTCACATGGCCGAAGAGCCGAGCGTTATTAAACTTCTGAGCAATCAAATCGACGTCATTACTCGACAAGCGATCTCAATCACTTGACCCGAGGTTCCGTCACGCGACAGAGCAATCAAAGAAAGATAAGGTATCCCAAGTACTAGTAGATTCGAGGATAAATTACCACCACCATGTCTCGTTACTACTACGTACTTATCATCACTGGGACTTCAGGCCACCACCCCCGATGGTATTACATTACACCGACAGGATTACGAATTTAGTACCAGTAGATACTACTCAGGCTATCTACATACTTAAATAGTCCTCCTGACCAATGGATTAGACTACCTAGCGAGAAGCGATGGCCTGTGCTACAGGAGCTTCCTAACGTGGAATGGTCGTAACTGAGAAATAGAATTCTTTCAAGACTAGGGTTACTTTTTGCCCAGCTCTGAGGGAACGTGGAAACGTGAAGTATAACTAATGAGATTGTCATGGGACTCTTGCGGATCCATTGATTTGATTCTTACCGCTAGGCTCGCAGAAAATGGGTTGTAACAATACTGTACTCATTCAAGCCTACCTATTAGTGTAATGTTACTTGCAATATGCTTTGTCTTCTTGGAGAGGAAATTACTAGTAGTAATTATGGATAGTTTGGTATAGCAGGCGTCAAGCCGCGTGGACCATTCCTTCCATATCGGGCACGGTTCCTGATCATGAGGTCACCTGTCGAGCTTCTTTGTATGGAAGTCGAACATACGAGTCATGAATCAGCACGACGTCGTTGATTCGATCATTCAACTTCCCTTGCAACTATGGAAAGCCGTCGACGTTATAGCTAAATAGGAACAGAGCCGGAACAAATTAAGGACCGTCCTTAATAATTGGTTTACAGGATTTTATACCGAAATGACGCTAGGTACCGATTGGCTCTCAGAATCGTCTTGAGACCTCGACAATCCTGTGGTCGTTCGAGCAAAATGGCATTAGAAGCACAGTTCGGATCAATCCAGCTTAATAGCTGTTGAGGAACTTCGAGAAAGCATGATCGGACCCTGTCTTGATACCCTCCCGGGCTTTTCTACCCGGAGAGAAACGAGAGGATCTCGTTCTCTTTACTATGACATCATATCCTCGTCGAAAATTCCTTATGCTCCTTCCATATACTGAGGTGAATGGGAATAGACCTGGTGAGAAACAGACAGAAATATTTTCCGTTTGAGATTGCCTGTCTACAACGGTGAAAAGAATTTCAAAAATTTACATACTTCATTATGGCTAGAGAAGGAGCCCCTGCGACTCAGATTGCTCAAATGAGTATATAGTGGTATCAATACTTTCGAGGCCTACTGGGAGGCTCAAAACATGCAGACTATCATACCTGTGTCTGCCTGATAAATTTATACATTCCCACCTCCTTATATCTAAGGTGAAGACAGCTGAAATAGGTCCGATTCCGTCCATATTACCACCACTATCTTAGTTAGATATCTCGTATAGGCTGCAATTAGTGAACTTCGCGCACATTCAGGAAGTGTTACTGGTTGAATAAGCACTGGATAATGCGAATCTATCAGCGCTAGGACGGTCTATATACAGTACATAGTTCTATTTCTGAGTACATACCTGCTTGGACAATATTACCCGCAGCCGCGCCACGTGTGTACTCTTTAGTAGAAGCAAGTCTGTATGGGTCTTATCCTTGTCCGGCACCTTTCTGTCTTTGGGCACTGCTTAAGATCAGAATCATTATCTCTTCCTGCTGAAGAACTTAGGCTAAGAACATTCTCTTTTTGCATTAAGAAGCCGAACAGATCCTCCGGACTAATGTATATCACTGATCCTCCTCAGATCTGCGTTCCACACGTGAGGCCATTTACTCCCAGGCTTGTGTAGGCGGGGGCTAACGATTCGGTAAAAACGCAAACGGTGCCCCAGTTTGTGGAGCAAATTTGCAGTGAGGATGAATAAGGAGGATATTGTTGGTCAATGCGACAATGGCTACACTGCAGAAGAACTTTTTCTGCTCGTTGTGTCATTATTGACAGCAATCTTGGCAAGATATGTGGGTTAGACTTGCCAGCTCGCTATGGAGACGATGTAGGACGCATAGATTGGTCTGAATGCGAGTCCAGCATTTACAGTGGGCCGTCGGCTTATATCCCATCCCATCTACAGCTTAAAACGCCCTAGAAGTATATGAGGCTAATGTGAGAAGAGCTTCTTGCTATATAAAGAGCAAGGACGGGGTAGAAACGCGAGTCTGACTGGAACTTAATCTCCGTCCCTAGACTGGACAAAATGCCAATGGGCCCCTTTTTGTTCGGATTTTATTCCCCATCTATATTATTCCTCGGATATACTGCCAGATAAGCAGGTGGCTAACTGACTATCGAGCTAGTACACATATCACTTTTATCTTTAGGGAGGGAGCAAGACATAATATGATAGAGAGGTTGTCGACCAGGCCGAGCAAAGCAACAGAGTCTATAGAACGGTGAGATTGTTTAACTACTACCTATCATGAAAGCTGACGCGAAATGCTAATTCGTGACTATTAGGAAATGGGTAAGCGTGGTCCTTACGAGGTTTTCTCGTTCGGTTTGAGAGATCGGAGTATTTTATGCGTAATTTTGAAAGAAGCCTGGTTTGCATTAGGGTTAGACGTTGAATTGCGATGAGCATCACATCTAAAACTTCGGCATAAGCTAAACCATATTCAGAGTGGTCATATCTTAGTCAGCGGTCGCCTTCGAGGTATTTATTATTTTACTGTATGGTATTCATTCACGCTGTAATGCATGAGCCAGGTCATCCTTATCCATGGATTGACCTTATTTCTCCTCTGTTTGCATTGTGGCCAAGTCTTGTTCTCCCCTGTAGGTCTTATCTCTGTCCAATGGTAGAAGATGGATGCTCTGGTCGGGCTTAACTTTACGCCGTGCTCTAGAGCAAACTCCCGCCGTGTTCCGCGTTTGGGCAGTGTTGCAGATAACCAAGTAGCCAGGCAAGTAGGATAGGTTATGTGGTCTTTTACAGTTCTTCCAAAGTGGGTGTGTCATTATGCAAAACTGGGGGTATGTATGTACACTTGGGAACGAATGTTGCACATCGCCGGCAGCACCGGTGTACGCATTTGGATTGGGTTTAAGCCCATGGGAAATGCCCAACGACTGAGTTGATTCTTAATGTGCGTGTGGATGATGCGAGGTGCCCTTTTAGGTACCTCTAGAAGGCTGGAACCCTGTAGGAAATGATCAGAATGGAAGAAGTCCTAGTGTACCATAATCGGGCTTCAACATACCCTCTTCATCCAACAGCGTCCGTTGTTTCCAGCACTCTTCTACCCATTCAGCAGTGACGAGGTGTGGTACCTTCATCCCCGGTTTTGCTGAGTATGATTTGCGGATTGCAGAGACCTCTGAAGATGAGCTATCCGGAGCTACGACGATGTGAGTAACCGACGAAGATTTCGAACCCACAACACTCGCTCCCGCAAATTGCGCAGTGTTGCGTGCTACATGGAGACGGTATTTCTGATGGATTTGTGGCGTCTCGTCTACTTCTGCACCGTCCACTTTGTCATTCTGAGGAAAGAGGATGGTTAGACCCTTGAATAGCCATCCGGAAGGCATCTCCCATCCGGCATTAACTTTCTCCTGAATACGCTCGTTGAGTTTCCGGGCGATTTTGGGATGCTGAGAAACATCAAAGTGATGATCATTGCTCATCTGCTTCAAGATCTTGTGACAGTCAGCAAGTTATAGTATCCTATTCTGAGCGGGATGCTTACCTCCTTGAGCTCGTCATTGGTGGTACTGCGGGCATAGCTATCATTGAACCGATCAATGCTCGCTACAATCTCCTCCTTTTTGTCCTGTGTCGCGAAGAAGACGTGCCTGGGTGCGCATTAGTAGACCAGGAACCCTGTTCCAGACTGAATTAACGTACCTGGGTTCAAGAGGAAGAAGAGAATCAGGCAAACCCGCATCAATTTCACTCTGCTTGATACAATCCAGAATCCAAGAGGGCCGGATAATATCGACCTTGCCGCTTTTTTGAAGAGACGCGGCTTTTACAGTCTCTGCATAATATGTGAGTTGACGCTAATGGTTCAAGGAGTCTCCCAAGGCGCACATACTTCTGTCCGCGATACAAATTGTGCTAGGAGCAGCATTACTCGTCTGAAAGAACTTGCCCCCATTAGCCTTCACGAGCTGTTCTAACTCCGCCTTTGACTTTTTGACTGGTGTGTTCGAGTCGGTTGTAATGTCTGTAACTTGATCAGTTCGTGCCTTGACGTTACACCCGGCCTTCCAACGTACAGAAATTTAGCCCTTCGAAGATATGTCCAGATGGCCCGGCGTACTGAGCCTCTGCTTCCGCATTGTACCCTGCAATAGCTAGAGGTTTCTTGTTATCCCTCTTCGCTCGTTTCTTGCGTGAATTATCCACATTGAATTCTTTCTCTTTGCGCTCTTGTTCCGCATTAGCTTTGAGGTCGAGGAACTCTTGCACTGAGAGAGCGCTTTTCCAATCTTTGTCCATACGCAGCTTTTTGAAGCGCGGAAAGCGTAGCGTCAGTCCGATACGAAACTGATCGCTGACAGCTACTGAAGCTGCCTTAACGCAGAGAACCACCGAGTCTTCGGGCTTTATCCACATGTCAGGGCGCTCATACTGCGCATCTCCGCCTGCCAGTTCTATGTATGTCGCGGGAGGCCTCTTGGGTTT